CCATTTTACCAATTTCTTTACACATTTTTCTCGAGACTTGGAAAAAATATACACATGTGATGGGAAATTGTAGGAGTTCCCACATGGAAACATGACACAGAACTGCCACTTTTGTGATACTTAGGAAGCTTTCTGCTGCCAAGTCATAGCAAGACAACCTCAAAATAATGTAAATGATAAGGGGATTAATTTTACTCCATAACAAACAATCCCAAGTCATCTGGGGCTAGTTAGTTAAGTTAATAACAGCATCAAAATTCCGGGTGCTTTCCACCTTCCCACATTGTCACCCAGGTATTCCTTTCCACCTTCCCACATTGTCACCCCTGGTGGTTAAGAGAACTCAGCTGTTTCAGGTACCACATTCTCACATAATAACATCCAGAGCAGAAAAAGGACAATTTGTCAAGTCTTTCTTTGTTGTTGTTTTAATGAGTAAAATAATCTTAGTCATGCCGAACCGGTTTGGCTCAGTGGATAGAGCGTCGGCCTGCGGACTGAAGGGTCCCAGGTTTGATCCCGGTCAAGGGCATGTACCGTGGTTGCGGGTGCGTTCCCAATGGGGGTGTGCAAGAGGCAGCTGGTCAATGATTCTCTTTTATGTTTCTAATTCTCTATCCCTCTCTCTTCCTGTCTGTAAAAAATCAATTAAAAAAATATATAAAAAGTTTGGAATCTGATTGCTTTAAAAAAAAAAAAATCTTACCCGAAGTCCCCAACCAGTGACCTCCCCTCATCCTTCATTGGCCAGGAACCAAGTAACATGCCCATTTTTAAAACCAATCATGGCAAAGGGAAGAAGGCCACCATAATCTATTTAGTACAGTCTAATCTAATTTGAGGCATGGAAGAAGGGAAAACAGCCATTGCGTAAGGCCTCAAACTGTTTAGTCTCATGACATCTTCACTATTACTGAAGATTACAAAGAGCTATTGTTTATGTGAGCAATAGTTTACTGACAGTTGTTGTATCCGAAATTTAAAAACAATTATTAGTTCATTTAAAATAACAACAATGGACCAATCATTTGTTACTATGTTGCGGTGGGCAGAATGATGGTCCCTAACCGTGGCCCACATCCCTGGAACCTGAGACTTTGTAGCAGATGCTATTCAGAATTTTGAAGTTGGTTAGATCACCTGGATTAACTAGGTGGGCCCAATGAAATCACAGGGGTAGGTATAATCAAAAGAAGGAGGCAGTGGCAGAATGATGTAGACTAAGAAGGACACTTTTGGCTATTACAGGCTTTAAAGATGGAAGGGCACCACTAGCCACGGAATATCGGTGGCCCCTAGAAGCTGGAAAAGGTGAAGAAATGGATTCTCCCTTACTGTCTCCGGAATGGAGAGCAGACCTGCTGACACCTTGATTTTAACTTAGGGAAGCCAATTTCAGACTTTTGAATTCCAGAAAGGTACTAAATTTGTGTTGTTTTATGCCACTAAACCTGTATTAATTTGTTACAGCAACAACAGGAAACAAATATGTATACATCTTAAATTTAAAAAAAAAAATGACTATGTTTTCCAAAACAAACAAAAAAATCAGAAGAGTGGCACTGACTTACATTTTTGGCAAATCTCTTCAAGGTCTGATATTAGAAAGATAGGTGAATTTTTGCATCTGCTTCTGGAAAACTGTTGTACATTCATGAAAAACTACGAGTGGAAAGGCAAATCTAGAAATAGTTTTGACTTCATGGTCCTCTCAAGCAGGTCTTGGGGACTCACAGGGCTGCCCAGACCATACTTTGAGGACCTCTGGTGCAAGAAATCAACAATTTTGAGCCATCCTCCAAAGAACAGATAGGAAACAGTTTTTACCCCCATATTCTTAGAGTGAACTTGTCTGGCTTTAAGGTATGACCTTAAGGTGATGACCGATACAGTGCAATGATTTTCACATTTCTTCCTTAATTCAAACAATATTTCTAAGAGCTTAGTTTGTGCCGGGAACGTCTTTATGGGCTGAGCTTATAAAGCAAACAAGGTGGATACAGCTTTTGCCCCTAGGAAACTTCTTACATTTCAGTTGAAGAAAAACAAGCACGTAAGTAAGACAATTTCAGATATTACTAAAGAAAAGTAATGGAAGAAAGAGTGAGGGGGCCATGGCTGGTGCGGCTCAGTTGGTTAGAGTGTCCTGCCATATGCCAAACCCACTGGAGGAAATAAGAGACTCTAATTATATTATGTGCCAGGCTTTGCTTCTATGAGTTCTTCAGCCTAACACTTTCCCAATCTTGATCATGACGACTCTCCAGAAAGGTACAGGACCCCAATAGACACGGCACACCTCCCATGAATTGTTTGTATGCCAACATCAAAAACAGATCTGACGCCCATCAGGGGGATTTAAATGACAGGTTGCTTGAAGTGAAATGACTTCTGCCTGTTGGCCAGTGTCGGTGTGTGGCCCCAAAGGCACAGTGTGAATACGCCTGTTTGGCAATTGCTGGTCTGTCCCTTGTCCAAAGCGGTAGGTGTGTGCCTGGATTGTAAGGGGAATGACTCTGAAGTTAGCTTTTCTCATCTCTTAGTCATACAGGAACACACACTGGAAAACTTGGCTCATTTCTGGAGACTTCTTGTGACGACCCTCGGTGGCTCAGAATGTACAATTGGTCGTCATTATCCCTTGTGTCATCAGTGTCTTCAAACTGTAGGGTGATGTTACAGTGATGTTTACAGAAGAAGGGACCATGCTCCACACCATAATCAAATCATGTAAGGAGGAGCCTTCTTAGATATCATGCATCTATACACAGTGATCAGATATCTAGTGTCTATTTTTATAGGATAGCGGGAGAAGTCACCTTCTGGCTCCCACTAGAAGAACCCGGATGAACCATGTGCCTAAGAGCTTTTAAGGTATTCATTATAAATACAAACTTGGCCTAAGTGTTTACCTGACAAGCCTCTCCACAACGAGAGGATGCAAAGAACTCACACATGACCATGCGACTTGAAATCTGCTTTTAAAGGCCGGGAATTGGGACCCAATCAGGACGCTGCCCTGCAGGTGTGATGCCTCACCCTTGGGAAGCTCCATCCACGTGCGTCAGAAGCCTCATCACAGAGCAGCTGTGGCTCCTTGGGCCCCAGAGTCTCCCTAGTCGTGGCTCCTGAAAAAAAGAATTAAAATTTATTGTGAACATTTTTCTATGACACTTAAGACTGTACATCAAAGACACTACAGTAGGTCCTTCCAGGGCTTCATCTTAAAAAAAAAAAAAAAAAAAAGGAATTACATTCTGACCTCTCCTGCGTGCGGTTCAACCCTTTCTCCCTGCCTCTCCTTCGGGGAGGACAGAAAGGAGGGATGGTTTTTCTCTCTGCAGCGGGAACCGGTAACTGAACCTGTTGTTGTTCCGCTAAGCCAGCCTGCCTGCAGCCTCGGCGGATTCCGATTCTAAGTGCTCGGGGAGTTTACGCTGGAAACCTGTGCCTTCCTCCCACGTCCGATAAGCGGGAAGTTTGCTCTAGCCATGATAAATCTGCACACGGCGGGGATGTTTTTGGCCCAGAGCGTACGTTAGGACGATGATTAAAGCCGCCCTCCTCCCCTGCTCGCGGCCGGGGAGTGTGTTGTGCCTGCATCTCCAAGGAACGTCCCGCAGCTGCCGCCGGCGTGTGCGCGCGCGGGGCCCGCAGCCGGCGCTCTGCGTCCCCGGGGCCGGGCGCCTTGGGTTGGCCCAAGAGTCCTCCGCCCGCCGCGGCCACCGGTCCTCCCCGCGGTCCCCTTCCGTCTCCGAGCCCAGCCCGCGGCCCAGCCCGGGGAAGGGAAGGGGAAGGAAGCCCTCGCCGCAAGCCGGCGTCTTGGCCGGCTCCAAACACGCCGCCACCCAAAACTTTTTTTTTTTTTCTCCTCCCAGCTGCGCGCAACTTTGTGCCTTTTCGCCCAGCACGTTCTCGCCCCGACTTTCAGTTCCCTGGGGTTCCCTCGGCTCCCCTCGCCGTCTCCCCCAGCCCGGGAGGAAGGGGAGTAGGTTTGGGAGGGAGGGGGTCCCCGGGGGCGGGGGGCGCGGAGGAGGAGAAGGGGAAAGGGCCACGCCGGCCCGGGAGGAGGAACCGGGCGGAGGGGACGGCGACGGGCGCGGGTGCCCGAAAAGGAAAGCGCCGCGGCGGCCGGATAAAGTTCGCGCCCTTTCCGCGGCGTCCGCAGCCTCCCCTCCCCACCTCCTCTCTCTCTCTCTCTCTCTCTCTCTCTCTCTCTCTCTCTCTCTCTCTCTCTCTCTCTCTCTCTCTCTCTCTCTCTCTCTCTCTCTCTCTCTCTCTCTCTCTCCCTCCCTCCCTCTCTCTTTTGACAGCTGGGCGCTAGCGGCCACCTCCACGTCCGCGCCCGCACCCCCCAGGGGCGCCCCGAGTTGTTTTCCATCCCCCCAGACACAGACGGCTGGGAAAGTTACAAGGCGGGAGGGAGACACAGACATCCTCCTCGGGCGAAACCCCTAGACCCTAGCCGGGGACAAACAACGAGGCCACACGAATCCGACTTTTTTCTGGTGCAAAAAAGGGAAGCCACCTTGTAGTCGCGACAACAATCCCCGCGGAGAGGAGCCTTCGGGGGGCCCGCCAGCCCGCCCTCCCCCCCAGGTCACCCCGCCCGGCCCCCGGCCGCCCGCCCCCGCCCCCGCCCCCCGCGGCAGCCCCCTCCCGCGACGGCCCGATCCTTTTCTTTTTTTTTTTTTTCTTTTCCTTCTTTTTTTTTCTTTTCCTTTTTGTGTCCCGTGGAGCCGGGGAGCGCCGCAGGCTCCGGCTCGGGCGCGGGTGTAAATCAGTCACCTGAGCCCGAGGGGCCGCGGCGGGCGCGCGCGGGCGGGGAGGCGGCGGCGGGCGCGGCGGCCGGAGGAGCCCGGCGGGCGGGCGGGCGGGGGAGGGAGAGAAAGGCCGAGACGGAGCGGCGAGCGGCGGCGGCGGCCGAGGGGCTGGTCCAGGCGCGGCCGCTAAGAGGAGACCAAGAGGCGGGGGCTGCACTTGACAACCAGCATGCGGAGATGGTAAGAAGTTTCCACCCTCCTTTCCTGCTTTCTAGTCGAGACTTCGGGAGCGGGGAGCCCCCCGGCCGCCCGGGGAGGGGGGGTGGGGGGAGGAAAGACCGTGTTTTCTCCGAGTCCGGCGGGGAGAGATGGAGGGGGGTGGTGGTGGTGGTGGTGGTGGTGGGGAGGAGGAGGGCATGGGAGGGGAGGGGAGCCCCAGTCCCAACCTGGCCCCTGCTGTGCCCCCGAAATCCCCTCTCAACTTGGCCCAAGTTTGCGCGGAGAGTTCCAGGTGGGAGGGTGTGCGGGGGCGCTGGGAGCGTCGCCCCCTCTCGCGGCTGCGGGGAAAGGTGAGCGGCAGCTCCTGGGGGTTGGGGACTGGCGGGGGGGAGGGGGGAAAAGGGGGGCCAGGGGGAGGCGGGGGGATGAATGGAGCGCTGGAAGGAGCTGGGGCGGGCGGAGAGGAAAGCTTTGGAGACAACGGGAACTTTTAAAACTTGCCCGCGAGCGGGGGACGGGCGGCGGGGCGCGCGGGGAAGGCGGCCGCGGCCACCAGGTCCCCCGCACCCTGGCTGTGCCCTCCCTTCGCCCTCACGTTGGGGGGCGGGGTGGGGGTGGTGGAAACTTCCCTTTGCAAATGAAGAAATTGTAGGAAGTGCTCCCGGAGGTTGTTAGGAAGAATGTGCAAAGCGCAGGCAAGAAACCCCGGAGAGGGAGAGGTTTTGGAGGTGCAATGTTTGGAGGAGCCGATTTGCCCGACTTACACGTGGACCGCACGGTGGCATTTGGGGCCCGGAGAGGGGGCAGAATAATAATACCTTCCCACCCCCCCCCCAAAAAAAACACCCAAAACCTAGATGTAATCCCCTGTGATGTGAGGTTGAGATTAAAAATATAAAAGTTCCAAGTGCAAGTGGCGATGGCAGCGGCGGCGAACGCAGCCGCGGAGGAGATGCCAGCACCGCCGGCTGCGCTGGAAGCGGCTCTGGGCGGCGAGGCGGCGCGCAGGCGGCTCGCCTGCGGACGGGCGCTCTGTCCGCTTGCGGGGAAGGGATTTGCTAGAAATGGATTTGCTAGAAATGGGGCTGGACCACTCGCTTCCTTTTCGTTTGCTTCCACCCGGTGCTGCTGTTGTTGCCCCCCCCCCCCCCCCACACACACTTGGGGGATCTCCCAGCCGGTTCCGCAAAGTAGATGGCATATGTAAGAAGGCAGGTAGCGGGTCGGCGTGTCCCCTCTCTTCCCTTCCCCTTGGTGTGTGACATCCCTTGTTTCCGTGATCAAAGTCAAGACTGGAGGGTCAGGAGATGCGACTTGTCAAAGGCAGGCGCGCAGACAAAAACAGCGTGCGCCCAAGACGGTGGCTACAGTGACGCGGGCAGAAATTAAAGTGATTCTGAAAGCAGCGCGCGATGTATGGTGCTTCCCATTTCCCCCTAGGGTCAGGCTTGTTGGAGAAGGGACGTACAAAAGACATCATAAAAGAATCCCCGAGTGCCCAGGATTAAAGAGGCAGGGAGTGGCTGTTTCATTATTTTTTTTTAATGTACTTCGTGGACAGTTACAATGGTTGGAACCTGTGTTTAAGTGGAGGCGTCAAAACAGAATGTTCAAGGTATCTGTTTAGCGCTTGAGCGTTTTTTTTTTTTTTTTCCTTCTTCTAAGCGGCATTTAACACAAGAACACTGTAAAAGCCGGTTGTAGGGATTCTTTTTTCTTCCCTTTTTTTCTTCCTTAACCTGAGCCCTATGTGTCTGCACATCTCTTTCCGAACACTGGTCACTTTGAACAGTGACTAAACCCATGTGTCACCCGCTGCGTTGTGTGTCCTGCATTTTCAGAGGTGACTGTGCACACACATGCGTGCTGGAAGTGGTGGGGGGGATAGATTTCCTAGGTGGTGTGGGGGGATAGATTTCCTAGGTCTGATCAGAGGACGTAACTGGAGAGGAGTGAGACCTTGAACAAGCTCATAGAACTTCCATTACCCTTTGGAACCACCCCTCCAAAAAAATCTCTTAGGGACTTCTATAGGATATCTGGGTTTTCATTTGTAGCGGTTTCATTTAAACTGTTCCGCCTTAATGAAGTTCTCAGTGGTAGCTAACTCTTCTGTTCCCAGAGAGCAGAGTATTTAAAATCCAGATTGCTAATCACTTTACCAAAGCGTTCTGGAGTATCTTCACCTGAGGGAAGTGAGGCTGAGCCTGAATGGGAGACTCTTGTGAGAAAAGTTCGAAACTGACTCCCCCCCCCCCCCCCCCACCCCTTGACCATTTTAAGTTCGGTGTTGTTTGCTTGTTAAACTTAGGAGGGGGGGGAAAAAGCAACCTTGGGATTTCAAAACATAAATATTAAGAAAATATTAGTAGCGGTTATACATTCCAAATACTGATCCCCCCCTTCCCCTTTTACCTGAAATGTGAAGATGTCTGTCAGGCAGGGAGGTGTGATGACAAAAAGAAACAGACAAAAGCAAGCGGACTGTTGCCGTATTAAAATGTAAGTGTTACAGTTTGAATTTTCAAGTGAGAGTTTTTGAGTTCAGCGCTTTACATAACATTTTGTTCCTAATCTTGCTTGCTGTCAGGGATGTTTCATGGTTGTGCAATTGCTGCAGTCAAGAATGCCAATTTGCATTCCAGGAGTGTCATTTGATTACTTTTATCTGCACAGCTCCAAGACCGGCCCAGACCTCTCGTTTCATCTTGCCATGTCACGAGTCAATGCTGTGTCGTCTTTTCAAAAATCTGCCTGATTTAGACAAGAAAGAAAAGCACTTTCATGTAGCAGCCGCAGTCCCCTGCTAACTTGTCAGCAGCAGGATATGATTCACTTGGGCCCAGAAGAATGGAACAGAGAAGGCGGGTTAGGCGGTTCAATAAAGCCCACGGACAGGTAGTGTGTGACATCCCCAGAGAGCGGCAGTTAATGAAGAACAGGTCTGCTTAGTTCTCCACACGCTGACCTGGTGCTGTCCCCACAGTTTTCTCATTTGATCTTTCCCAGCAAATTGATCTTTTCTTGTATTTTTTTTTTTTTTTGCCTTCCAAGTTAGTCCTTGTGGGACTGAAATTAGCAGAGCAACTTAAGTTGGATAATACAGCTGTTCAGAAAAGGAGAAATTGGACACTGGCTCAAAAAGGGGGCGGGGGTTGGGAGGTGGAGAGAGCTGTTCTTTTTGTTGTTCCTGGGAATATGTCTTACATTAAGGGAGTCCAAAATAGGTGATGACTTGAAGCTAGTGGGTTCCCCTTTATTTTTAATTTTAGAGTTAAGGCTCCTCACCATTTTAAATATTCCTTAAAGTATTTGAAAAGATGGTCCTAGTGAGTATGAGGAGCTCTGTTTAGCATTTTTCAGACTCACTTGTTTGAGACAATTTGCCAGTGTACTGTGTGGCTTTTATGGCGATGGTAAAGATAGACTAAATATCAATGGCATTTTCCAACTATATTATTTATAGTCTTCTAAATAACTACAATCCCAAACGTGTCCAATACTGAATAGCAGAAAAGATTAAGCAATAAAAAAGTCATTACCAGTGTTGTGTATAAATATGGCACATGGAAGTGTTTTCTACAAATTACCATGAGCATCTCTGTTTCCCATAAACCCTACAGAGACAGTTTTAATAAAACATTTTTTTTTTTTCATCCTGCATTTGAATGTAGGTTTTTAGAACTGGGACCCGACCACAAGTTTGAATTTGGTATAGATGTTAATATATGTTACTTTTTTTTTTTTTTGAGATTAAAATTGATTTTAGCAAGGTGGGTAAATCTAAGTTGGGAATGTAGATATAGCTTAAAACACAGGTTAAAGTTTTATTATAGAATTTTGTATATAAAGCATGGGTTGGAGGCAAGTAATAGATTCTCAACGTGAGGTGGATATAAGGAGCAGTGTTTCCTTAATTCCTGTGCAGATGGTCTCATTTACCATCTACATCTTTACAAGAAACAGTTGAAAACATTCCTTGTAGAAGGGGAGGCAGCCTTTTCAAATCTTTCCTGCTGGATGGAAATTGCATAGGGTCATTGGTTAGTAAACTCCTCTCTGAAGAGCTAGAGGGAGCCTCGTGATTTTATTAGACATATTTAAGGGGAAAAAAATCACTCTGGCAATCAGAAGTTTGTAGAAAAAGTACATAAAGAATATTGGCATGCTGGCTTAGTGTTTAGGTTTGGAGGGGTTATTGTAGGTTTGGTGTTTAGTTTTTTTTTTTTTTTTTTTTTTTTTTTTTTTTTTTTTTAAAGCTGTGGCAGAAACAACAGAACTTCCTGTAAGAAAAAGTGATCAAATAGTTTGCTAAGATGTCTAAGTTTTACCTTTCAGGTTATTTTGAAGATCAAGCAAAATACAAGCAAATATATTTTAAATCTGATTTGGTTTGCTAAGGTCTGTTTATCGTTTTGTTAACTGAAGGGGTTCTCCTGTTAGGAGGCCAACCTTCCATGTTCTATTAAATGTAACTTCTTCCCAAGTCACTAAGGAAGGGGATGGGTACCTTCTTTCAGTTCACTTAGAGACAGCCTCCTCTCTGTAAATAATGGTTTTGAAGTAGTTCTACACACAACTGCCGTACTCTGGAGAGAAGTCTCCTTTAAGATACATGCTTCATGGTATAAGCATAAATAGTAAGCCATTTATATTAGGAATCAATAAATATGTTACATTTAAAGAAATAGAACTCAAGTGGTATTAAGTTCAGTATTTGTTGTTTAATTTCACAGTCTTCCCACTAAAATTTGCGATATATTTACATTCAAGAGTCATTGACCATAATTGTTCTTTAATATGTATATACTACTTTTTAGTAGCCTTCCTTTGGACAAACTTATTTGCCATTTAAGTAAATAGTATAATCCAGTGAGATAAACTACCCAGATTTGCCTTTTTTTTTTTCATCTCTTGAACAGTAGCTCTCATTATATCGCTAGCCAATAAAAGTCTTTATTTGTTGCTTATTAGAACCCTCAGTACACTCAAGAGTTCAGCTATAATTTAATTTGGCTGTT